AGTAGTAGTAGTAGTATAGTAGTAGTAGTAGTAGTAGTAGTAGTAGTAGTAGTAGTAGTAGGAGTAGGAGTAGGAGTAGGAGTAGTAGTAGTAGTAGTAGTAGTAGTAGTAGTAGTAGTAGTAGTAGTAGTAGTAGTAGTAGTAGTAGTAGTAGTGGTGGTGGTGGTGGTGGTGGTGGTGGTGGTGGTAGTAGTAAGACCAGCAAAGTAGCAATAGAAAACAGTCGTAGCAGTACTGGTAGTCGTAGTGGTGCTGGTGGTAGGAGACGTTGTGGTCGCAGCGAAGGCAATCGTAAAACCATGGCTCGTACTGCCTGGGGCGCCTAAGAGACGCCCGCGGGCGCCCACCAGGCGAGACCCTGGCCCAGCCCACCCACCGCACGCGGGGCGCCCACGAGGCGCCAAAGGGCACCAACCAGGCGAAACCCCGGCCCATCCGTCCAATCGTAGGGGACGTACGCCCACAAATAAATGTACACATTCACAATAATAAATAAAACAATACAACTCGATAGAGAGAGAGAGAGAGAGAGAGTGTGAGAGAGGGAGAGAGAGAGAGAGAGAGAGAGACAACAAAAAAAGAGCGAAAGCGAGTTTGAGGGAGAGGACAGGAGCGAGAGAGCGAGAGAGAGAGAGAGAGAACAAGAGAGAGAAAAGGAAGGGAAAGGAAGACCTGCACCCACGAACCCCCTTCGGAGGCCTCTGCGTCTCGACCTCCGTCTCCTCGCGGACGCGAGCCGCGTCCGCGGCCGTGCCGCGGAACGCGGCGCTGAGGCGGTCCTGGCAGGATCCGCGGCGTCGGGGAGGCGGAGGAGCGGGAGGAGCAGGACGAGGGCAGAGGAGGATGGGCGAGGAGGAGAGGAGGAGGAGGAGGAGAGGAGGAGGAGGAGGAGAAGAGGAGGAAGAAGAGGAGAGGCGAGGAGAGGCGGAGGAAATGGAGGAGGGCAGACGAGCAAGGGGGGGAGAAGGCGACGACCACGACGACGCCGACGCCGACGCCGACGCCGACGATGACGACGTCGACACGAATCCGCCAACCCCCGCTTGCCAGGAGTGAGAAGGCGCGTGAGCCATCTGGCTGACAGCACGCCCCCTTCCCCCCCTCCCAGGAGCACAGCAAACACGTTTTGAAGGCGTGGATGGCCAGACTCCACAGCGCACCCCCAGAGCCTCCAGAGCCGTAAAAAAACAACACTCTGGGGACGCCAAGGTGCCCAAGATGCTTTCAGAAGGGCTTCACAAAGGGCTCCAGCACGCCAGAGAGGCCTCAGGGGAACGCCCACGATGGCCTCAAGACTGCCCAAGATGACGAAGGAGGTCCCCCAGAGGATACAGACCCTGTTCCGCCGAGGCCAAATTCCGCCGCGCCCGGTTCTGCCGAGGCCCGGTTCCGCCGCGCCCGGTTCCGCCGAGGCCCAGTTCCGCCGAGGCCCGGTTCCGCCGAAGCCCTGTTCCGCCGCGCCCGGTTCCGCCGAGGCCCGGTTCCGCCGAGGCCCGGCTCCGCCGCGCGAGGGGCGCTCAAGCCACCGCCTCAGGCTTTGGCGCGGCGGAACAGGGCCTGGCGGAACAAGGCAGGCGAACAGGGTCGCGGCGGCGCGGCGGAAGAGGGACGGGCAGAACAGGGGGTCGCAGCGGAAGAGGGCCAGGCGGACCAAGGCCCGGCGGAAGAGGGCCGGGCGGAAGAGGGACTCGAACGGAACAGGGCCTCGGTGACAAACTGCTCAACGAGAATCGTCCCCAGACTACTTTTTGACTATTTTTGAATATTCCTCCTGTAGAGGGACAGGGGACAGGCCCGACTTCAGAGTTCGCAGCGCCAGGCCACGACGCAACATTGACGGCGCCCACGGTGGGGTGGGCCTTCTCAAAACGTTCGGAAGCCCCCTGGCCTTCTGGCAAGTTTTTGTTAAGGCTTCCCCCCCTTGCGACAGAGAACAACAACGCCTCAGAAGGCGCGAGAGCATCTGAGAAGTCCCGCCGCCTTCTGAGAAGGTCTTCCTCCTTCTCAGTTCCCCCCTCGCTCGCCGCCGATTCTAAAGAGGCGGGGTAGCTCCTTAGAACCTTGCCTGGCTCCTGCAAAGCATTCTGAGAAGCCTCCGGGGCTTTCTAATAAGCCCCATTCACCTTCTCAGTAAGCGCCCCACTCGCGCCAACCCGTCGTGGGCGCCGTGAAAACCGCACCCTTTCTTCTGTTCTTGCTTCTCACCGCGCGGCGATGCAAGCCACAGGGAGAGGAGCGCGGCGACAACCGAACCGGTCGCCGCGACGGACACGCCCGTCGGCCTAAACTACGAGCCTGCGCGCACCCGCCCGCGCGCGAACTCGCGCGCGGGGGGGGGGGACCCGGCTCACTTCTGGCGCGGCCGCGAGCTCCACCGCGTCCACCGCGCGCGCCTCCGAAGTTCTGCAGGTCCGTGTGCGCCTCTCGTGCGTGCTCGCTGCCTCGTCCTCCGCACTGCCTCCATGATCATGATCATGATCAAGATCATCATCATCATCATCATCATCATCATCATCATCATCATCATCATCATCAACAACAACAACAACAACAACCTCAACAACAACAACAACAACAGCAACAACAACAACAGCATCAACATCAGCATCAGCATCAACATCAGCATCACTATCATCACCATAATCATCATCAGCATCATCATCATCATCATCGTCATCATCACCATCATCATCATCATCACCACCATCACCATCACCATCACCACCACCACCACCATCACCATCACCATCACCATCACCATCACCATCACCATCACCATCACCACCACTAGCACCATCATCATTACCATCGATCTGCCTCATCATTTTGACCCTCTTCATCGTTCCTCCTGTGACCTCCTGCCCCCCCTCCTCCTCCTCTTCTTCCTCCTCCTCATCCTCATCCTCTGCCTCCTCTGCCTTGTCTTGTTGTATCACATTGTTTCTTATCATCCTCCTCCCATTCCTCTGAACCTACGCAAGTGTCCTCTTCCTCCTCCTCCTCCTCCTCCTCCTCCTCTTCCTCCTCCTCCTCCTCCTCCTCCTCCTCCTTCTCCTCCTCCTCCTCCTCCTCCTCCTCCCTCTCCCCCCCCTCCTCACCCACCTCCTCCTCCTCTTC